GCTATTTAGCGCGATTAGTGTTCTGCCAAGGATGTGTCCAGACGTTATAAATTTGTGAAAAAAATCAGTTATGTCATACAAATGCTTTATTTCAACATTCGAAACAAAAAGCATTTTTTATGACAATATTTTTTTCTACAAAGTAATAATTTGTATTATCAACCAATAGGCCTAAAATTTCTGATAAAAATTGTATTAACTGCAGATTCTGCACATTCCTCTTGATTTTTCTGTTTCAGATTCAAACTCAGGAATGTGTAGAAATATAATTTTGTATTATAAATTTTAAACTTACTTGTTTCCAATGCGTCACCCGCTTTTAGGCCTGGCATAGCCTAGTCGTTAGGGCATTCAATTCACAACCTGCGGGTTGCGAGTCCAAATTCTGGAGGTATTTTAATATAGAGGTCAATCCCACTATTCGTTGTTAAAGAGTAACCCAAGAGTTGGCGGTGGGTAGTGTCTACTATCTGCCTTTCCTCTAGTCTGTCACTTCAAAATTAGGGACGGCTAGCTCAGATAGCCCTCAAGTAGCTTTGCACAAAGTTCACGAAACAAAGCTATGAGCTGTTAAATAGTAATTTGTATTGTTATTGGCGAGAAAGAGTTGTTAACGTCATATAATGAGTGCAAAGCCTAATGACTAGAACTTACGTGAAAATTTAAGAAACAATTTGAGCGGTATAAAAATGTGAAGAGTGAGTCTGTTACAGTAGTTTGATTGCTTTACTGAGTTAGCGAATGTGTTATTTTGTCTTTTGCTCTGAGGCAGTTAGCCAGTTAGTTCAGTTTTGTGAATATTATATTTGTATTTAAACAAAGTATTAGAGATAAGAAAAGCACTGTACACAAGGGAGAATCAACAAGTAAGTGGTACTGTCGTGTTACTACCTACTCGAACATTAGTTAAGCTAAATTACAGAATTTGAACCTCAAGAAGTAAAACGTTTTAATTATCATTAAATGGAGTGAACGTTGCATTTTTTGTTACAAAATAATCTCAAAACGATTGCTGACACCGTTATGCCAAATTCTATCTCTGTTATTATTAATTTTCAAAACAACGGGACAAGAATGAGCTAACCTTTTCACACACATGAAGTTATGTATCAATGAATCGAAACTATCATAGTTACTAAAAAAAAGCTAGTTATTGTACATTAGTCAAAAACATTTTAAACGAAAGAGAGCCAATAATAGAATTTGAAGTAATTATAGCTGCGAATTATATATTATAGAGGACGACAACGAGGTCACTCATTTAGTTGTACTACATTTACTATAAAAGAATAAAAGTTTTTATGATCATGTATGAGAGTCAAAGAACTGGACTCTTCTTGTTCCATTGTTGACCTTAAATAATCTTTAATGCGTTTCATAGCTGAGAAAGACCCGTCTGCTGTCGCTGTTGACACTAGCATAGACAGTACTATCATGTAGATATGATACACATTAGGAATCAAGTTGGCGGATGTCAACAACAGTATCTGTCAGCGTCTCCGGTTTCTTAGGAGTCATTTGCTATTGAACGATCCATCGTCGAAATCCCTAGTAGTTCGTTCATATTTTCCTGCAAAATTTCATCTTGCCGCTCTAGTGAATTTCTGAATCCTAACTTGGATGAGACATTGAACTTCAAATCGTCCATCTGGTGCTATAAGTCTGTCGGTCATTTCTCCAACCAGATGATCTGTAAAAGTGAAGTGATATATAACAGAATGTCCTTTTATAATAGTTTGATACGTTATC